ATTACGAAGAACAACAGTAGCTGCAATAGTCACCTTTGCGTCATCAAGACCACCTGCACCATATAGGAACATGAGGTCAAGGAGGCACCAAAGTAATGACTGCAAGCTGAAAATTAAAACAAGAAAACAAATCTCTTGGAACTGATGCTTATAGTTCACTGGAAGCCATACAAACATGTTGAGTAAGGTCATGCAATTTGAAGTGATCAGCTTCATTTTCATTTTTGGCTGATGCTACAAGTTCACTCTCACCAGAATTATTTTACTTTGAAGTAGACTAGAGAAGAAAATTCTCTTCATTTTCAATAATATTCAACCACATAAGAAAAGGACAAAAAATATAGGGGAAAAAGAGCATATGGGAGGTGCCACAATAAACTTTACCTCGTCAGTTATTGGCAAGAATTAATCACATAATGAAGACCATTGACAGTAACCAAAAAATTTAAAGAGTAAAACGAAAAGGTAATTTTAAATCCTATATTTTTTCAATATATACAGTATAAATGAATTTATCAAGAACATAACTGATTGCATTTTCCGTATATTGTCAAAAAATTCTCATATGAATTGAAGTCAGCCAAAAAAGTGCTGACAGTTGTACAAAAGAAGGGACTAAACCAGGAATTGAAAAGCAGACTAATCATCATCTTATGAAATGCAAGAGTTTAAATTGCAAGATGAGGACCTACCCCAGCCAAGCATTTTGTCTTCAACCTTCTTCAGCTTCTTTTTCTTCTTGTTGTCTATTTGTTTGGAAATAAATTTTTCACCTGCATTAAAAGGACACAGAGCTCAACAATAAAGCAAAAAACATTTTAACAAGTAACATATAGATGATTGCTTATTTGAATCAATGTAGAAAGAAGTTGAAAACCTATTGATAAGGAGCAAAAAGGAAAATTGATTCAACAAGTCAACCAAAGCCCAAAACTGACAGCACTGTAAACAACACCTATTACCTTTCTGCTCAAATTTAGCTTGTGTGACTAACATAGGGATCTTGCCACCAGGACGCAAAGGTGTCCCATCCAAAATTTGAACAGCCAAAGCAACAGAAGGCTCCTAGAATAGACAGACAAATAATATTTATCGAAGGATGCAATTTTCAATTTTTCAAAATGTAAGAGATTACAAGCACAAGATTACTAAAGGAATAAAACAAGTACCTTCAGATATGTAACAAGTGCATCCCCTTTCTTCCTTCCTGTCTCCTTGTCAACATAGATTTTAACACGAGGTTTTTTGGTCTCAGGATCCTAGAAAATAGAAAATTGGATCAGATAAAATCATGAGGGGTTGGGTAAAACTATCTTTTTTATGAACAGAAATTTCTCTGATTGTGAGGGGGCTGGTTTGGGGTTTAGCCCCATGCTGTGGATAATGAATGGAGAAAAAGTAAAAAGAAAAAGTAAAAATGGAAAATCATTGTAATCATGCAAAGTTGGAAACATCGAGAGTTATAATCATTATCTACTAAATATAGGAGAATTTATTTCAGCATATAATAGGCAACAAGACCAGTGAACCTACCTAGGCATATCAGAATTGTTTGTTAAGAGATTCATTAAGAAACAATGCTAAATGGAAGACCTCATTAAGCTATTTGTAGCACACTAACTGATGTTCTACTGTGCAAGTACCAACAAAGGAAAGCAATAAGGCTTCAGGTGAAGAAACATAAGTCATTTGAGCTCCCATAGGATCTATGCATACTTCACATGTAAATTACTTCACATGTAAGTCATTTGTGAATTCAAATATGTTGAATGAATAGAAACTATGACACCCCAGCTTGGCTATCATACTTAGTAGTAGATCATACTACAAGCATTAAGTCTGTAAATGACGGTAAGAGATCAAATATTAACAATAGCTGCAAAGATGATAACACAAACAGTACATGGAGAACACTTGCTATTGTTTTAACATTATAGGAAATATATAGGGGCCTCATCATACTTTTCCTGCTAGTCTAAATTTCTAAATTATTCTTTTCCATATTTTTCTCCTATTTCTTTTTAAATAGTCCAAATAATTTCAAATATTGTCAAGTTCATTGAAACCTCTTCTGCAATACACATCCTGATTCATTCTGATGCAGTATATGATGTACCAAAAAGATAAAATGAGGATTTGAGCCTTCTCCATGCAATAAGAGTTCGAAGTAAAATAAAAAGTGTAAGATCAATGTTTTACCTCCTTGATTATGCCACATTTAGAAAATACCTCCACCAACTGCCAAATAATTACTTATTAGAAACTTGCTAAGTGCAAATGGGAGAAAAAAAAAATAGTGAAAAAGATAGAAGAACAGAAAGACATTTTGAACAATGACTCAATGAAACTTACTTCTTCAATGGTGACATCATCAGGCAATCCAGTCACATAGACATGCGTATTGACTTTCAATTCAAACCAAGTATCAGGAGGTTTATTAGCTTCCTGCAGGAACGATAAAAGGCGGGGACCAATAAGACAACAGAATCAGCCCAAAACATATTCTGATTACCAATGGCAACTGGCTATTTCAGTCCAAGCTAAGAAAACACAAAATGAATAAAAAATAGCATTAAACACAACATGTTTTCCCTGTGGTGATATTACGTTCACTTTGATTTTCTCAAATATTAATAAGTGACAAGCATTGCTAC